AGATATATAATGCAAAAATATTAGCTTTAATTAGTAAAAGATACATAACCGGTGCCTTTTAACATTTGTTTTCAATTTGCATGCGCATATATCATTCGTTTTTTAACCATACATTTGCCGCTTTTAGAACAACAATCTCTTCTATGTTCAAATTTTTGATACCGATTGCCTTGAGGAAAGTCTCTGGTTCTTAAAGGAACTTAAACTTTAACGATCGCATAATTAAAGCATTTTACATCATAAATCTGTTTATTATTATATTATTATATTATATAAAATTATATAAGACATTGGTAACGGATATTTACTGAACCCACGTTATATGTTGAATATATTGGGCAGTTTGAGACCTAACTTTTCAACATCTGGTTATATATCAGCGATTGGAGTATCACTCTTTCTAATCTCTTTTGGGGGTTTTTTATGGCTGTCGACGTCATATAAGTCCGACGCAAATTTTTGCTATAGGTTTCATGGTGCTAGACGTCGAGTGGATTGTCGACTGTCGATTGTCCTATAGCGAGCTTATAACCGTCGATAATGTATACGATTTTTCTCAGCATCGAATTAAAATTCGTTTGGCTCTAAAATTGGTATTGAATACCATATTCAAACGGAAAATAAAGCAAAATGTCATTACGAATGACATGAGCATTAATTATGGCAGTGAGGACTTTCTGGACAAGTCACGCAACCAGAGTCAGAATTTGGATGGAAGCACACGTGCAATCTTAAGATCCTACACGCTTACGAAAAGAGACGGATTTTGTATACTTCCCTAAGATCATGGCAAAACGTAAATTACTTACTGTTTGAAAGAAGTATCGAATATATGACAGTGCGGAAGCTATTGTGCGCTGCAAGTGCAACTGATGTAACCATTCCGCTAAGAGCTACAAAAATCAAGCAATCTCTTGCAAGTCTCATGGTAACCACAATTTGCAAGGATGTAATAAAGAGCCTGTTAGTAAGTGCATTAATTGCATTAGGGCAAATGATCAGTTTAATCTGCATATAGCGTGGTTAATCACCCTAATTCACCCTAAATAATCACCTAAGTTAAAATTAGTTAAACAGGAGGTTGGATATGAGGATTGATCAAAATTTATATACGTTTGGATAGATAGTCTTGACATGAGTTTGTGAATCGCATAAGGGGTTTCATTTATGTACGCAGCTTCATTAAGCTCAAGGTTGATTATTTTAATTATTTGTTGCGTTCTTTAATATTTAATGTTGTTTGTATACCTGAGATGTAGTTCAAGCTGCACGTCGACAAAAAGTCTTGTGAAATTAGTGGTTGAAAGAAGCGATGGCATCACTGTTTATATAAATGGGTGTTTAAATTATAAGACCGTATCGCCAAATATCTCGTCCACATAGGTGCAACAGTTTGGACGATGGTGATTTACATTTGAACGATTCATGCGTTAATGATTTGCGTAACTCAATATCAACTGTTGGGTTGAAGATGATGAATTAATGGGCTCAGCCCACATGCTACGCCGTTCAGCCTTTTCTAATTCATTGAGTTATATATACACGCATTGCGATATCAATGCTTTGCTTCTCTACATACTTTCTACTACTCCTATACGTATATAGTTACTGCTTTGTTACATTCTGATGCCTGAAAACATGCGCGTTAGCCCTTCAAGTAATGTATACCCATATAGATTCATTTATGACATACCCTGAATCGTTAACTTACGTACATTTATTAATATCTCTATATTCCTATATTTACAAATATGCTTAAGCTTGTTACTTTATACACACCGAATTATTAACATACATATACTTACTCATGCCCACTTGTTTAAGGATACAAATATACGTTCAATAATTCTTGTAGTTATACCTATACTTATGTTTATACTTATAAATCTAGAAATTGCCATAAATCACCTGTTACTTCTTATACTTGTGAATGCACAATCAAACATACAAGAATATGTCTACTTTTCTAAAACCGATTTCCTATATACGTGCATATATTTAACTTCTATATATATATATATCCGCCTGAGTAGCTGAAAGCAAGGAAACTCGACTAGCAAGTCAGTGGTCGTGGGTTCGAATCTCAAGTGCGGTAGAGTTTTTAATAAACAGCCGATAGCTTTAGATGCTAGTGCTTTTAAGAGTTTAGTCTTAGAATTTATTTCTCTGGCGAAATTAATAATAATAATAATAATAATAATAACTTCTATATAAATTCTAGCAACTTCCATAAATCACATACTGTTTCTTATAGCTGTACATGTGTAACAGTACATAAAGGAATATACCGCCACATTGCTAAAATTGAGGAGTAATCATGTATTTGGAAGTTAACTTTCGTTCGCGACTAAATCAATAGTGTTATATGAGCGTGTGGAGTACAAGCTGGCCGTTCCATATCGTTGAATGTAATATTAATAACCATTTCTGATAATATTTTTTTTATTTCGATTTTATGGTTAGGAGAACATAAAAGAAATAATATATTCAATGTAAATTTTTTATTGTTTTTATTTCGTTAATTAATTAATTTCATAATCTAAATAAATATATGCATATATCAAGTGTGTAAATAATATACATCTAAAAATAAAAAAAAATATACGTCCATTACTAGTTGGTTTGTTTATTTATTTATCAAAGCGGAGAATTAGCTGTTATTTTTCAAATTTGGGCCGCCACAATTAAACATAAACAAAAATTTCCTCCTTTTACTGCTTTTTCATTCACGTATGAATGATAGCAACGAAAATGAGAGGAAAGTGTTACGCGATTGAGGCAAAAACGTTTATCAACAATTGGTTTTGCTGTGAACGAAAGTTATCTTTCATACCACCCTTTTTGCAATGAATCGAGCTACCGCTTCGTAACGAATGTAACAATTGAGGTCAAATCCTGAATACAATAGTTGCGTTATCGGTTTTGTATGGCGCACGAACTGTTAAAATAAAGTTGATCATGTGTATTTGAATTCAGTTGAACATGTAGCTTGCGGCGTAGTGAGTATTAACGCGAGCTTTTTGCAAACTTTTAATATTTGTCCTTGCCTTGTTTTTGACAGCCGAAAAAAATAACATACACATTAACGTGTTTATAAAAACAATACGAAATCTTATGGTTTTATATGTTGTGAGGAACAAAAAAATTAAATAATGCTAGACAAAATACATTGCTAAAAACAAAAAATACTTATTTTTTCTCCCATCATAATTATATAGTATATTTTGTTATTGCATTATAAATGAATGATATATTTTGTTGTATCATAAATTAATTCTGTACTTTATTTTTGCTTTAGCGTAGAAAAAATTCATGCTTTCATTACATTTATATTTCAGTGATTTTTTATTTATATAAACATCATTATCATTAAATCGCAATTTGGCTTAAATAATTCTTCAAAATTTCACAAAGCTGAAAGACACTTCTGCTGACGTTATTTACCGATTATCTTGTCACCTTACGTAACGATCCATTATGCATTTCCACAAGGCAACTGTGACCTTTACCATTGCTGCAGCGGTTTTGGGATTCATGTGGATGGGGCTTAATAGCACTCTCAGACGAGACGCCAATGCCGACCGCATTTTTAATTATCCTTCTTCACCGGGATATCGTGTTCCAACGGAATTCCAGAGTAAGTCCTTATTAGGTTAATTAACGCCCTTGATGATTTTAGTTTCAGGCAGGTCTAGTCAATTTTGGCACCATTACTTTGCGACCTGCATGCTTCAATGTCAATTGCAGTAAAAATCCAGTTCGCATCGCTAGAAGAACTATTGGATGCATGGCTGAAAGAACAAATATATTATAAAATGTTTGTCATGTTTCAGCGTAGCAAAAAGTTAGCTTTGTGGCAATGATATTGTGAACCAGAATGAGAAGAACGCATAATAATAATGTATTTTCTATCTAAGCAGTGTGGAAGACTCCAAATATTTTCAAAATCATCCCACTCTGACTTGTTTAGCAAAGACGAATAAAAAGGAGCAAGCATCTGAAACTTTCCCCATAAGCAAACAACCCAACGTGAATGTTCTTTTGATTTGCAATTATAACAAATGAGAAACTTGCAGGAGTTATGAACTATCTGCACTTAACACATATAGATTGCACGAAGATATCGTTAAAATCTTCCTCGTCAAATTTAGAAGAATATGAAATATTTCAAGATTCTTGCGAACATTCACTTTAAATTGCCTGATGTCAATAAAATACATATGTTCAAAAGCCATCCATGAACATTTCGGATTTTATATAAGTAGTTTTACTCAGCGTCACTTTTCGTATTTACGACGATAGTGATAATGCTTCCACATCATTTTTATCGTCATAGTTCAAATAATTAAAATGTCGCTATTCGTGTACTTTTGTCGCTAAAATTTTTACTAATTAACTACAAATATTATATTATTAGCTATAATCCGAACTTAGCAGCAATAACTAAAATTATATTTTAAAGAAATTTTTCTCTATTAATTTTGGACTACTCGATAAACGATTTTATAAACAGATGCTAACAATGTGATTTTGCTTTAGCATTGCACGCAGGCTGTATGCGCAATTGATTTTGCACTATGCGTCGTGCGTTAATGAGCATTGTGTTTAGCACTTTACTTGTTTGAATAAGTTAAAAAAGTGGGCCGGTTATTCCATTGGAAAATGAAATATATCGTCTATAAAATTGATGAATGTCCAAAACATTATAAAATTTAAAGGCAAATAAAAATTCGTAGTAAAGGTATTTTCTGTATTTGCTTTTTTTGTTTGTGCATATTGGTCAAACTAAACACACGTTAAGATAAAAAATTTCTCTCGAATTAACTGCCGCATTGGTATGTCAAAGGCTCGCTTCCTTTATAAATACAATGTCAACAAAAAAGAAAAAAAATACAACTATGTTAGGAGATTTTAAAGGAAACGTCACTATATATTTTGCTTGCATACCTGAAGTTGACAGTACCGAGAGCAACGAAATATTTACGGGAAAAAATAGAAAAATTTACTAACGTAGTTAAGTGAGAGGGAGAGTGTGGCCAGTGAGAAAATTATTTTTAGGGGAAAAAACAATTTTGATTTTTTTATTTAAAATAAAAAAGGAAAACGGAAAATAACAAAAATTATTATAAAAATAACAAAATCAGGACTTTTTATTTGAGTTGATAATTTGAGAGTGCAGCCAAAACTGAAAATGGTAAGTTAATTACATAAAAATGAGAAGGAAAAAGAAAACAACCACAAAAAATCGACATAGCCAAATAGAAAGTTGATAAATAAAAAAATATTCACGGGATATGTAAAAATAATAAGTAACATATATAAACTCACACATTTTGATATGTGCATAAACATATATGAAAAAAAACAATAGGCTACCTGATATATATATATATTTATGTATATATATATATATATACGCAGATATATATGTATATATATACATATAGACATATAAATATATATGTATATATATCCTGTGAATGTGTGTATATTTGTTCTGTTTAGTGTACACATGTGTTCATTTATTTTTCATCCGACCCCTAATATAGAATAAACTGAAGTCCACACAAAAAGACAAGGTAAAAAAATTCATCTCCCTAACACAAACTGGTGAGCAAACAGCCATATACTGTTTGCAGCAGAACGACTGGAAATTGGATTTGGCAGGAGATAATTATTTTCAAAATCCTGAATATTACTATCGGGAGTTAGATCGTAAGCGCATTGAACAACTGTTTATGCGTTATCGGGATCCAAGCGATATACAAAAAATCAACTCAGAGGGTGTTATACGGTTTCTTGATGATCTTGAACTAACTCCGGATTCAAAATTAGTACTAATAATAGCCTGGAAGTTCCATGCCGAAGTGCAATGTGAATTTACCCGCGAAGAATTTGTGAATGGTCTATTTGAGCTTGGTGTAGACAGCATTGAAAAATTGAAAACAAAATTACCGCTACTAGAAATGGAATTAACTGATTTGGGAAAATTCAAAGATTTCTATCAATTCGCTTTCAATTATGCTAAGGATCCCGGTCAAAAGGGCATTGATCTTGACATGGCCATAGCTTATTGGCAGATTGTATTAAGTGATCGTTTTAAATTTTTAGATCTGTGGTGTAAATTTTTAAAGGTAAGAATTTATAATAGAATGGATGGGAAATACTGTGATCTCCATATTCGCTTATTTTTTATTTTTAGGAAAAACATAAACGCTCCATACCCAAAGATACTTGGAATTTATTATTGGATTTTGCTACCCATATTGATGATAATATGACCAATTATGACTCGGAAGGCGCTTGGCCAGTGCTGATCGATGATTTTGTTGAATGGTGCCAAGAAAATCGTCAAATGCTGCAATCTGAAAATTGCCTGCAGACTAATAATTTGACACTTTCACCTTCGCAGACACTACAACAACAGCAATCAGCCCAACAACAACAGCAACAGAAGAACATATCGAATAGCTTTCAATCATCAGCTCACAGTACAAATATGAATTATGGCTAACGACGTTTATTTAAACTGTATTAAGTTCTTTTTCTACACATATATAAATAATACTTTTATTCTCTGCGCAACTAAGTAACATTAATAATGAAAGCGGAAACAATTACAAATAATATAAAAACGAGGAGAGTGAAACCATATACACATAAATAAATATATAAAAATATTATTAGTAATAAATGTAATAATTTGTGAGAAGCAACTTGCTAAGAACCAAAAGCATGCATCAGATTTAGTGCATTCATAAAATCCCTTTTGAATGTATAAAACAACGTTATATGCGCATCATTATTATCTTTGGATATGTGTAACAAAAATGACAAAAAATTATTTCAGTTTAATATTTTTACAACTACTTACTTTTCATGCAACGTTTTACTTTTAAGCGCTTTTCCGTTTTCCTTTGTTTCAAATATAAATAAAGCATTTTCGAATTTTAAACTATTTTTGTAATTATGTTTTGTTTAAAATTTGTACAGAAAATTAATTTGAATTATAAAATTGGCTTAGGTAATTTAATTGCAAACTTCTGAAAGAAAAATTGTTATTCGTAGTACGTTTTGTAATAATATAGAATGCATTTTACATAAATAACAAAAATGTGAAGAAATTTAGATTTATTTAATATTGGAAATATTCCAAATGGAAAAGTAATTTCATTAAAGAATTAATTCAACTGGGTTATTTTCTACATGTGATATCCATATCCTTCTATCATTGTGGTAATCATAAGGGCAAATAAAATATAATCTTTTAAATTGGCAACACTGTGCAGTCTGTTTTGCTATCGAAACGTAAATTTTATGTATGTGAGTCAAATATATGTGTGTATGAGTGCAAAAAAAATCATGATACCTTTCGCGACGAACTAAAGAAAATTAAAAATAAATAGTCATTATTATTTTTTAGGGAAAATCTTTCCGGAAATTGTGCAAAAACTGAATGGATTTATTATAAACCGAAGAAAATGTAAGATAAATGAAAATCAAAAAATTTTAGGTGAAAAACAGAAAACGGTGTGAAGAGAGAAAAAAGAGTGTATGGAAAAAATTTCTAAAGCATATATTGAAAAAGGAAAAGTTTAAAAGCCACATAATATATTATATTTATACCAGAAATTCGACAGTTCGTAATGGCTTCTTATATTGCTTTTTGGTAAACGTGAGTCTTAATGTACGATAATTTTCGTGCGTATTCGGGTAATCAATAGAGAATTAAAGGATGTAATTCCCACAGGTATTTGAGTACGGAAGATGCGCCAGATGCATCAAGAATAATAGCAAAGGACCTCCTATTGAATGGGTGTTAAATTGAATAGATAGATTGTTGTTTCGTTTTATATACATACGGCTAGCTAAGTAGATGCTTATGCACAAGTTATGCACATATGGGCATAAAACGAACTGCGTATGTTTAATATATAATATATGTATATTTGTTATTTGTGTTCGTTTCTGTTATGTATGGAGATTAAATGTAATTGTTGTTGACCAAGGTGCTGTATTTATATTGTTATTGGTAGCACGAGCACTAAGATGAAAGTATGCTCATATGAATATATACGTCGCAGTCTGAGGTGGGCTTTCTTACGTAGTGACTATATGATTATTAGATTTTAAAAATATCTAGGTAATGAAATGCTCACTCTACTAACAAAATCCCTTGAGAAGAAAAAAACATAAAGAAGCCACAGTCGTCGTAGAGCGATTCGGTCACAGTAATAAATTTTATTTAATATATGCAAAAGTATACAAACGACATGCATCTAAATAACGTAACTTTAACACATGATGGGACGCAAAACCCACTTATTTACTTTTTTAAATCATTTTGTTTGGCTAACTTTAAAGATAATTTTTCATCAAGTCTGAGAAAAGTATTCTTTTTAGACATGTAGTCTATGCGACCTTACGATGAATAGTTTTTATGTGTATTGACGCGTTCTTGTTCTCTCCCACGAAGACAAAACAAGCAAGTGCCACGCTTGATAAGAATAGTTTTGATGAAGCTTTCAAAATGAAAATCTATTTCTTATAGTTTTGTAAAGAGTTTTGGGTTCGTTTAAAAGAGAATTTTAGAAGAAAAAGGCCTTTCAACTGCGTCCGATGGTGGCTGCGAAATCACAAAGCACAAACAGACTTATGGTTAATTATAATATTTTGTTCACAATTGCCAAATAGACTTAGCCTATAAAGAGTTATTTACGTGTTAGGTAGGATCGCCATGACGATCGCGTTATCGACTTCTACTTTCTTGCTTGATATTGTATATAATTGATTTGGATAGAAAAAATTTTGCTTAATTTCAAGAAAATGGGTCCAAAATTTTATATTAAGGCTTTTGGAATAGCAAATATAGCATAAATTTAGTTAGACGATACTTTAATTTTAACCATAGAAGAAGTAAACGGCTTCATGCAAATTCTAAAGTTCTAAAAACATTTTCTTTAAAGCATTAAACGTTAAAGTATTTGCATATGTGCATATGCATGTGCAGCTTCTTGAATATCTAATTTTTACACTTTCAACAAATATGTATACATAGATTACAGTAACAGTATGCGCATATCGTCCAGACGAAACTGAGTCATTAAAATGAACTGATTAAGAAATAGATATCGATAATCAAGTTGAGACGATGGCCTTTGATGTTGGTGCACTTTTTCTTGTATTGCACGAATATCTACTTTTGTGCAATGTTACCAAAATAAATAAATAAAGTTTTTAGCTACATGTCATATTTGAATTGGAATCGCCCATAGACAAGTTCATTTGGTTGCATAGCTTTTTGCGATTAAAACTTGTAAAATTCACGTAGTAGTCCAATAATTCATTCATTACATGAACGTAAGATGTGAAGAAAATTTTTGCGATTATTTGGTGAATAATCTTTAAAGGATCTCTAGAGTGCGCTCACGCATGAAGTTAAGTCATCAATGAATAGCGTAAACAAGTCAATTATTGCCAATCCTTATTTGCCTCGATATTAAATAAATAAAAATTTGTTTTCCAATTTGTGTGGAAATGGTTGTTAATTGATTATTTATACACACAAAACTATAATTTATGTTTTAATAGTTTAAATTAACTACTATTAAATTTGATCGAGCGATGAGATTAGCTATTTTTAAAATATTCGTTAGTGCAAGGAGCAAACATTTTCCCTTAAATATATTTTAATACTTCATCCCGCATCGTAACAGCACTTAGTGGTTACGAATTGTTGCTAAGCTATACTTTCAGTCTTTGGATCCTAATTTGAGAAACGCCTTTTCATTGTTGATCGGTTTTTTTAATTTATTTTCCATCCAGAAACCATTCATTTCTACAAATTCTTTTACCATTTTACTTTGACAAATATGAATCAATCAACATTGATAATAAATATTTGTGTAAACAAACAATCGCCTGATTAACGAATGTATGCACGATACACGATACGAGTTTATTTTTGCATTGACAATGAAGGTAGTTTGTGTCGTGTTAAGCGTTCTGGTTCTTTTCCTAATGGAACTAAAATATTTTTGTATTAAAACGATATTTTCCGGAGTTCGACTACAGCCCATTACTTGGCAATTAAATGTGCAATTGGTATGAGTGTGAATGGTAGGATAAATTCATCTATCTTTCAAATACACATCATTTCTCGTCTTTTTTTGTGTAATTTTCGAACAAATATTAACGGAAACTACAAGATGTGCTTTTGGGTCTTACCAAATAAGTAGCCAAACTACATTGAGAACATATGTATACACATTATACAGCGTAACTATTGATATGCATATGTAATATGTAGCTTTATATATAAAGCAAAATAAAAAGTTATGTTCATCTTGGAGAAAATCTTTAACGCTCGTCACCCTAAGCCAATATAAAGTAATTCTAAAGCACTTTGTTATGCCAGTTGCTCAGAGGGAACATCTTTCACAAGACAGTTCAGATGGCCTGAGGAATATATACGTCAACTTCTATTTTAATATCCGTGTGTTCGGCGCCGTAGCGCGTCCGTCCTTGCACTGAATTGCAAGTTTTTTCTATTGGGACCGTGTCGCGATCGTTTTCAAACTTGGTTTGCAGCTATCACCACGTACCAAGCATACTTGTGCATACTTTGCGGGGATTCCAATGCGTATTTTTGGCGGTTGTAAACAAAACTCCAAATCTAATGCGTCCGTATTTTACCGCTGCGTTTGTAAACATATTGTTCGCTATCTTTCCCTGATAAGTGGGAAAAAATTCTTGTAACTGACATCAATTTTCAAACGCATACTAATAATAGTTGGTTGATGAGTAAGAAGGTATTTCTTAAGTGCTTGAGGCTAATGAAAATGCAAACATATGTTGTATAGATGGGCAGGTACGCTTAAAATTTTGATTTGATGGAATGATGTTTGGAAACATGGTTTTTACTCTTAAACGCAATGTTTTGCATATTATGCTTCAATATTGAAAGATCTCGTACGAGTTTTATCGATGTCGACATACCTATGCTGGTATGTGTGCAAATAATAAATAAATGTTAAACCATCTAGTTTGATGTGATTTGTTCAAATGTTTGGGCCGTGTAGAAAGCGATAAATTGCACAGAGAAAGAAAGAGTAAATCGAGAACTGAGAGATGAGTTTGCGATGTATGCTCATTAACGTTTCAAAAAACAATCAGTTATTCTCCCTAAAACTATAAACAAAAGAAGGCAAGCAAAACAAAATTGGCTGTGCGTGTACGCTTCGTTACGTCTCTGCTTTGATCGATACAAGCAGACAAAACGGAACATACATGCACAGTAGGCTACGCACAGCAATTTGTGCAATAACCACTAGGTTGTGAAATATAGAATCATACAAACATACAAAGATAATATAAAAATATCAGTTATTGTTACACGGTGACTTGACATACTGGCTCGATTGAATGAATGCTTTCAAATTACTAATAAAGCGAGTTTCTCAATAAGTCGACGTATGACACCATGGTTCATAGTTTTAAAATTAGCAACTCCGAGTCTGCTGATTCTATGGAGTGATGTCTTGATGTATCAAGATTAAAGCACCAACAGCAATATTGGGACTCAAGTTAGTTCACTTATTTTCTGCTTGAAATTCGTTAGGGTATTCGTGCGACCATTTTTTCCAAAAGTATTGTTTTCCGGCACTTACTTGAGTCCAATATGCCAGATTGGTTATATTTCTTGGACGAAAATTACGTTCAGGGCGAGATCGCAATGCATTGTCGATTACGAAATTGGCAAGGATAATTGCCTCAAGCTCAATAGAGTTAGATGAGAGCGGTGAGATTGGCCTTGAATGTAAGATCGTCTCGATTTCGATTAGAGTTGTGACAACTTTTTCATAGACCAGACGAATATTAGCGAGAGGCCAGTTGAGACGAGCCTTGGCTGGCTTAACAATGATTTTCATTTTAATGGGCGACACTATGCGGAATGGTATAATCGAAAACGGATTGTAGGGCGAGCCGTTAAGACAGCATTTAATTACATCGGTGATGACGTTCGACAGGAGGCGTCAAAAACAACTTAAAGTTTTCTAGAACTACTATTGGGCTCATAAACACAAAATGGTGACGGATGTGTAATGACACTCTTAGGCTAACTTAGGCTTTTGCACCAAACTCATGCGCTTAGAATCTTCATATTCCGTCATAAAAGCCGCGTACTTTATTTTCAAGTCGACATTTCCCTCCAGTCGTCGTTCTTGGGCGGCAAATCATCGTAAAGCCATATTTTGCGATAGACTTAGGAAATCAAAATATTGTTTAAAAGTTAATTTTACAATAGTCCTACCCGAAGATTCTTGAGGAGAAGTGTTTCGAAAAACTGTTTCACACGCTTGTTTTTCTGGTGTCATTTGTGTTAAACCAGTATCAAATTCTTCAATTTTCGAAACCCCGTTCCAAGTTCATATTGGCTTCATACTCCCTGGAGAGTATATATGTAGAGCACCGTAATTTTTGTTGATAATTTTTATTGTTCAGCACTAATGAGCAAATGGATTATCTTTTCGGATTCCAAATACCGGCATCTACATGCGAGAACTTTTGAATACTGACCCCAGCTACGCAACTCATTGAAATCCAAAAAATCTTTCGATTTTTTTCCTAGCTTTAATATCAACTTTTTCATAACAATCTAAACCAGCATGGCATTGATTATGTCGGTGGATGACGTTCGGGATTTTAGCGAGTTATAAAGTGAAAAGGCGTTATCGACAAGACTTTTTAATTGGATTTAGGAATTAGATTTGGGAACATTAGGCAGATTGTAATATTTTTCATGAGGTGCTATTGTTGATGCAACGAGCTTTGAGTCTTTCAAAAGCCTTATGTTAGTTTCCATTACTTATTTGAAACGCCTTTACTGTTTCCAACGCCGTGGAGACAGTTTACCAGATATTTGAACTTCTCGCTATACGGAAGTCAATGCTCACGGACGGTAGTTTGAGTAAACGACAATATAAAATTTTTGCAGTCACTCTACTGTAGACTACAACTGGCCAATTCAAGACGAGGCAGCCTATTTGTGGAAACTAGGACTCCAAAGTGTGATTTAGAAAATGTCGCATAAATCCTCGATGTCTGTATGTGCATAATCGTTTGGACTAATGCTCATAATTTTGTTTTGAAGGGAGATTATTTCTTTGAAATAGGACTGCAGAACTCCTAACCGATACTTTAATTCCGCTGAAGACAGCTACGCATAGCATATTGTGCAATGGCCACTAAATAGAATCTAACATACGTAGATAATATGAAAATATAAGTTGTTGTCATGCATTGACTTAAAAATAAATATTTAAGTATTTCTTTTCGACGTATTTTCAGGAGCTGCAAACGTTATAATGTGACAAAAATCTGTTTTGTACTTACCATAGATGACTAATACATAGAAAATGAATAAAATATCCACTTCCACGCCTCAAAAGCAGCATCATAAGGATGTTGCTACAACAGAATCTGTAACTTTAGGAGAACTGAGTGGCCTTTTTGATAGCGACACAAGCAACGTTTTTGACGATACTACCGGATCAGTAAATCTCGCTAATAGTAATGGCAATTTTAAGCAAGCGGATAGAAAAATTCACAGATCGAATTCAGCCTCAAATAGTCCCGTAGCGGCACGGCACATAAATACAGGTTCATTAACACGTTTACGTCCCCAATCTAGTTACTCGGCACGCGTTCTAATATTTGATGATTCAGATCAGGATTTGGATAGTACTAAAAGCGGCGGTAGCGTTTGTAGTGGTGGTGTTAACACAATTACTAATGATAACACTACGAAATCTTCCTCAGGCTTGGATATTTTAGCGTGCTCACCAAAACATGATTCATCAGTGTCATCATCTCAGTCGATTTTGCGTAATTTAAACATAACGAAATCCTCCTCGGGTGGTTTAACGGCCAGCTCAATATCTTTGCCAGCACGGGGTTACGGTGCTCTGTTACGGAAAATTTCCTACCATCAGCATTCGTATTCTTTGCGCGCCGCGAGTAATGGTAGGTCGGTAGGAGGATGATAAATTCATTTGCTTCAAATTTATCTCCGTTCTAGATTCGTCTAATTTGGTACGTCTGCGTAACACTTCCTTGGGTAAGTCGGCTCCTTGCTTAACGGGCAGTTCATTTCGTGAGCGAGAATCAAGTTTATGTTTGGCCCCGGCGTTGCACAATCTCACACAGTCACCATCCTCGTCATCTTGCAACGCTCAAACGTCCGGTTTAACTCCTTCAACTAATAGCAGCGGTCATATGGCTGCTAATGCAGGATCTCATAATATATCACGCTCGGGAAGTTGCGCTGGGCTTGGTATTGGAAAGCATCATTTGTATGGTGTAGTTATGCGCGGCAGCAGTTCGTCCAGCGGTGTGGCGCACCATCGCCTTAGCTTGGTTACAGGAGTTGCTGCTGTTGCTGCGGCTGCTGCGGGCAATTCGCGTTCGCATTCGCCTTATTCAGCCAGTCCACTTGACAGTCCATGCATAAATTCCCCCATGCAGTTCGCCTTTGCCCCCATTAAACGCATAGCCAGTTGTAAGGGAGATGGTCGACGTTGGTCGGTAGCATCACTACCTTCTTCAGGTTACGGCACCACACCTGGAAGCTCAAATTTATCGGTTCGTTTTTGAAATTCTCATTAAAATTACATTTAACTTGAGTTTCTCTCGCAGAGTCAATGCTCCAGTCAAGAGGCTTTGCATCAACTTCCTAATTTACCCACCAATGAAGAGCTGACAATACTACATGGCGAAGTTACGAATAAGGTAATAAATTGCTGTGTCGAACATATGCAACAACAGCAAAAAGCGGTGACTGCTATCACAAATCGTCCTCACTGTGTGAAACATTGCGCTTTGTTATTGGCCGCATCTAATATTGCAATAAAACCAGGCACAATTGCAACAACAACGAATAAACCAACCGTCCATGGACAGGCTAGCCCAAAACAACTGAAGCATGTGCCAGCTCAAACGCATAATCATTTGCATCATCATACACCCATACAACAGAAATCATGTCCCAATTGCTGCGTTGAGGTTAGTTTGGTTTGCGGGGGAAACAGTGGCAACAACAAAGAAAGTGGCAATTCAAGTAGTAATAATGATCGTATATCGCCCATCCATAGGCCGCGTTCTCGATCGCTGTCATCTCCGTCGCGTTCGCCTGCTTTAGATAACGAAATTGCGATGATGAATACTTTGTATAAAGAACGTTTCCCAAAAGCCACTCAGCAAATGGAGGAGCGTTTAAAACATTTTATCAATGAAAATAAAAGCGCAGCTTGTAACAGTTTTAGAGATTCTCAGCCAATAGTAAGGTAAATTTGAGTGAAATGAAAATCAAGTGAAAGTATTTTCGTCAATTTTGTTTTCCCTTAGATTCGTCCACCATCAGGTTTTGGAGATGGCTCGTGATTGCTTAAATAAGTCAGAAGCTAAATTAATAACATCACGTTATTTTTATGAAATGAGCGAAAATTTGGAACGTTTGCTTTTGGAAACTAAAGAGAAATCACCGGATGCTGCTGTTGAGTTAGCCGGCGTTATTAAGAAGCTGCTTTTGATCATTTCACGTCCGGCCAGATTGTTAGAGTGTTTAGAGTTTGATCCTGAAGAGTTTTACAATCTGCTGGAAGTTGCTGAAGGTCAAGCCAAAGCAATACAAGGAATTAAAGCCGACATACCGCAGTATATAATTCATAAGCTAGGATTAAATCGCGATCCCATAGCAGAAATGCAGCAAGAAGCAAAAGAGACGCGCGAAGTGTGCGACGAAAAAGGCTCCTCAACGTTCAACGATAATAGTGGTTTATTAAATGATTCTGATACACCGTGTTCATTATTGCTAAGCTCGCCTTTGACGTGTGTTTCAGCAACGCTGAATCCGAACGCTGAAATTAATTTCTTGGCTAGAAGCGGTACAAGTACGCCCCATCCGCCTATGCCTACCCAACCGCCACAAACACCAGTGGCCACGAGCGAAATACCTTCTTTTGCAGCTGCTTTAAAAGCTCAGAATGCAGAGCATCAATTAGCGGGAAACGAACGGCAGAAGCAACTACATATACAGCAGACCCCATTACCTTCCGTATCACCCCAGCAACCGCAACAGCCTATACCCAGTGAACATGATTTTGACATAGTGAAATTAATTTCGAACGGTGCTTATGGTGCCGTTTATTTGGTAAAACATAAAACTACACGTCAACGTTTCGCTATGAAGAAAATCAATAAAAACAATCTCATTTTACGTAATCAAGTTGAACAGGTATTTGCTGAACGGGATATCTTATCTTTTGCCGATAATCCATTTGTTGTGAGCATGTATTGTTCGTTTGAAACTAAAAAGCATTTATGTTTAGTAATGGAATATGTAGAGGGGGGCGATTGTGCTACGCTATTAAAGAATATAGGTCCGTTGCCAGCTGATATGGCTCGTTTTTATTTCGCCGAAACAGTTCTTGCAGTTGAATATTTGCATAGTTATGGGATCGTTCATCGTGATTTAAAACCGGATAATCTACTTATAACGGCCTTGGGTCACATCAAATTAACAGACTTTGGTCTATCCAAAATGGGTTTGATGTCGTTAGCTACGAATCTTTATGAGGGTTATATTGATTCAGAAACTAGGCAATTTTCAGATAAACAGGTAAAAAAAACCATAAGTACTAATAAGTGCACAGAATTCGTTCATCTATTCATTTTTTTCTTTTAAAGGTCTATGGAACACCTGAATATATAGCGCCTGAAGTAATTTTACGTCAAGGTTATGGCAAACCAGTAGATTGGTGGTCTATGGGCATAATTTTGTATGAATTCTTGATCGGGTGTGTCCCGTTTTTCGGCGACACTGCCGAAGAGTTATTTGCCCATACTGTTAACGATGACATTGAATGGCCTGATAATGACGATTGGCCTGTGCAACCCGAAGCTAAAGATTTGATTACTCAATTGTTGCAACAAAATCCGCGAGATCGCTTAGGTACTCACGGCGGAGCTAACGAAGTGAAAGAACACTTTTATTTTGATGGCTTGGATTGGAATTCTTTATTGAGGCAAAAGGCAGAATTTGTGCCACAGCTAGCTAATGAAGATGATACCAGCTATTTTGATAGTAACTTTCCTTTAACTTTTAACTCGTTCGATTTGTATTAATTAAACGCCTCTTATTTGTAGCTCGAATGGATCGTTACAATCATGATCTAGCTGGAGACGACACGGATGACACTGACGACATACCAGTATTTGGTTCATTTTCTTCTTATACGCCTCAGTATCGCAAGCAACATTATTCGTGGTCTCGCGCAATTAGCACAACCTCCATAAATACAGTTTCAATAGCTAACAGCTCTACCGGCTTAATAACGTCGACTGTATCTCCTACCACTTTAACCACAAGTGGAGTGACCACGAGAGCGTTGGTATCGGAGAGTATAACGTCGACGACAAATACCTGTAATACTGTAGTGAAATGTCCAAAAATTTCTCCATCTTCAACTTCACATCAGCAAATGGTTAATAAGCTATTGAATACACCGCAATTAAGAAAAATTGAGGTATATTTGCTTTTCAACACTTTAGCGTTTTTATAATTCGTATTTAATATCCATAGCATTCTACTTGTTGTCTGAAAGTACCTTCTACGCCAGACACAGACTACTTCCCTGATTTGTTGAATAATATGGCTTTTAGCAATGACAACGACCTATGTACGCTTAATCAACAGTTTTTGCAATCGTCGAATCAAACAAAACCGATTTCTAAAGAAAAAGTTACAACAGATGGACAGTTGCTTAAAGTAGAAGAAAGAAGCCACTACTACAGTATGCCAGTAAGCACAACAGCTGCTATAAAGGCACCAGCCACACCGCCAGCAGTTACAACAAAAACCTGTATGGTTGAACCAACTGGCGCTGTGGATGATGCAGCTACTCTAGTATCTGTCGTTAGTTGTATAAAGACTACAATAACGACTCCAACCACCGATCATCGTAAGTTGTCTGACACTCATAAATCACTGGCAGTAGCTAGCAGCAGTGTTTTGACGGCGCGTAGCACACCGGAATCATCTCAGACCGATAGCGATGATTTTTCACCGCAAATAGCACGCAAACGAAAAGGCGTTTGTGCTCGGGACATATTACCACGGTTCTCAGTTTCCATAGAAGATGAAACCATTAGTGGCGGTTCGTCGTCTAATGAGAATACGCGTGAACAGTCACCTTTGGCTTTGCAACAGCAAAAATCAATGGACAGTCATCTTGGTTTGAAAAATCATCGTTCGCGGTCTTCAATTGTTAAATCTGCCTCAGCTTTGGGCTTGTCTTTAACATCAACAGCGAGTATGATTTATTTATTTTTTTTCATCTTCCAATTTTTTATCCGCTTCATCTACTTTTAGTCGATAATGCACAATTGGCGCAACAATTGTGTAATATTACAGCTGATATACAATCTCCTGGTAGTGGTAATGGCGGTGGTGGCTCGAGTACTGCTTCGTCTAGAGACACGTCGCCTTGTCGTGAGCTTTCACCGCTTGTTACTAATTTGAAACCGCCTATAATCATTAGAAGAGGTCCTCGAGGCTTTGGGTTCACCGTGCACACTATACGTGTTTATTATGGCGATACAGATTTCTACACAATGCATCATTTGGTGATGGCGGTGGATGAAGGCAGCCCCGCTTTTGAGGCTGGTCTAAGACCAGCTGATTTGATAACACACGTAAATGGAGAAACAGTGCAGGGTCTATTTCACACTCAAGTATTGCAGTTATTATTAAGCGGAGGAGAACATGTCACTTTAAGGGCCACGCCCTTGGAGCATACTAGCATACAAAGTGGAGGTCGTAAACGTGATTTGATGCAAAGCAAATTAGCAAAAAAGGGTGTTAATCGGCAAAAAAAACAAACGAAAAAAGAACATGACAAGAAACGGAAAACGTCCCTGTTTCGACGTATCAGTACCAAAAGAGCTTCAGCTGAAATACAACAGGTGTGTCAAGGGCAATAGAGTATGAAAAGTTTTTTTCTAAACGAAAATATTATTTAGATTGCTGCTGGTATTGGCTCTCCCACTACACCTTCAGCTATAGCCGCTGTCTCTAGTGGCAGTGTTATTGTCGCCGCTATAGCCTCAAGAAATCTTTCATCCATGGATTCATCATATCACAGCAGTAGTTGTTGTCAATCGGCAACTACTTCATCGCAATCTACTTCTCCTTCTTCATCGTCTGCGAACACACCAACCGGTTGCATAAATGCCATAACAGCCAACAGCAACCAAGGTTTCGGCAACACTTCCAATGCTGTACTTTTGCCCATAGCCGGTTCCGTACAAGCAGCACCTACGACTGTAGGACCAGTTGCAGTTATGGGTAATATACGCCTTAATTGAGAATGATTCGATTACCTAGATCATTTTTTTGCCCGTTTTTTAGTATCCCCCACTTCGGTACCTCAACTTTATCAACGGCCTTCTACACTTCATGGCTTGAAACATAAACTGCATACCGGTTGTAGTGGCAGCAATGCCATCTGTCCTACTGGTAGCAGCGTCAAGTCATTACATAGTAGCGCGTCTGCTCCTTTGCCTAATAGGCGCAAATCGGTGGGTCATATTCCGTTGTCGCCGCTAGCTCGCACGCCTTCACCATCTCCTTTACCCTCCTCCCCTACCCGTTCCCCATCACCTTTAGCTTTCCCTCTTATCGGACATCAGCCGGGCGCTTCGAATACTACTCAATCATATAGTCCTGGCGGGTCGCTGCCAGTGGTGCAAACTGTAACGGCAGGTAGCAAAAAAACAACTTTTGTACGCACAAAATCATCTGAACCTAGTTCACCTTTATTGCGTCGTGCTCTTTCACCAGATCGTTTACATCCACGCAGTGCTGAATCCAAATGTACTTTAATATCACCGCTCTGTTGTTCACCACCGATTAAACAGCAGCAACGCGTAATTGGCGGTGTTTGGCGACCAATCACTACTTCCAATACATCAAATGGACCGTCTGCCACTCTACCGGCGATTGGCTCTTTACAGAATTCGCCTCAACAAATATCACAATCGCAAGGTTCGAGTACACGTGCATTGGATGGATGTGATAATGCTAATGTAGTTTGCGCAGATGATAATACGATCGTCTCTTGCGAAGTGGGACAATCTAATCAAGTAGTGGTTACTTCTTCGGGTATTACCTTGCCTGGTGAAATGTTGCCACGTATAGCTGAAGAAAAAGACTCGCCAACTAGCATCACCGACTCTACGTCAGGTTTTATGCAAACTATCGATGAACAAGATGTCGAATCTATGAATAGCGCTAAATGCGAATTCACCGATTTGTCAGTCAAGAAAATAGAGAAGAAAATAAATGCACTTTCAAAAGGTGCAGGCGGCGGTGGTGATGGTCTATATAAAACCAAACGTAATGAAACCAGTAAGTAACAAAATCAAGAACAAATAAAAAAAACAAACTAAATTTCCAAGAATTGTACAAATTAACTAACATAATACATACATAAATTTTTCATAATTATATATATTTTCTATATATTTGTTGTGCTAATAGAATGAATGATATTGAAGTATAAATCTAAGTCTGACAATCATATTCGTGCTTATGCGAATTTTGTATATGTGTCAACTACAATTTATTTTTACCACTCGAGTTGCTTGCTATATTGTTTTTAATAAATAAAATACTAGGGCAGGCAGAATACTTTATTTAGCATAAAGAAACAGTAATTCATTTTTATATAAATGTGCTTGCAAGCAGACACAAGTTTTTTTTTTTTTTTCTCCTTTTGTTTAATTTGTGAAAATGTCGAACATAATATATATATATATATATATTTTTTGTGCATTTTTTATAATAAATTATGTATAAAAATTGAAAATACTTGCATTAAACATCTATCAATACTCTAAATATTTTCCGTAATAGCATCGATAGGTAGTAGATATTACAAAATTATCATCCAACGTCAAATTTATTGGCAATAAATAAAAGCACATGATCTTAAATAGACATAGGAAGACAGAATAAGCATATTCATAAATTAATTGCGGATTTTTTACGCACTTCAACATTTAAAAAATAATTTTTTCATTTTTTATTACATAAAGTTTTTCATTTTAAATGATGTTTAAATGATCTTTTTAAGTTTTTAACATGTTGGGAGTGTATGTATTAATTTGAAGAAATTTACAAGGGAGAACTTTACGATTCAACTACTACCTTTAAGATTCCGTGCCATCGTATACGTGATCTCAGCAAACGTAATTTTTTTTTGTTTTTAAAATATGACGAAGAGACGCTGTTTGCCAGAAAGATTACTTTTCTCATTGAATTCGAGGAAAAGTGAAAAAAAATATCGATCATCATACGGCAAAAGTGTGCTTTGTCCGATATCATATGGCATAATCCGTTAAGAAATGTACAAGCAGCATAGCACGCTAGCTGCGCGTTTTCATATTAAAATTGCACGCGCGTATAGGAAAATTAGTTGTAGCAGTGGTAATGTAATATGTTAAGAGCAGAGCCGATTTATTTTAATAATAAAGATATACTAAAATGTCTTCACGTTATCTCGCACACTCCCAATTATATAAAAAATGTTAGCAAAAGTAATTTTTTCGTCAGCGTTGTACGAATTTTTCTATTAGCTCAAGCAATTTGCCAATATATGGTCATATCTTTTCTATTGAGAATTTCAGAACGGCTGGAATTACTCAAAAAATCTCAAGTATTCCTAGTTATAATTGAAAAGCTGCTGATATGCTTTTTATCTAATGGTCACGTAATTAAAAAAGCTCTGAAAAAGTAAGTCAGGGGGGGTGTGGAGAGTCCATCAGCGCCCCATACAATATTCGCCAATACCATTCGTACATATAAAATGAATGTAAAAGTTGAACAACGTCTGACTTTCCTTAAAGCATTAGATGGAGAGAGAGAGAGAGAGAGAGAGAGCGAGAAATAGAGAGAGAGAGAGAGAGAGAGAGAGCGAGGGAAAAAAAGGGAAGAGTTATCATCAAAAATACACTTTCATAATGAGAAATATTTAAGTCTGTAATACGTTACTCTTTCTGAATAAATAGATCGATTATTGACAATGCACATGAAAGATATAAGTATTTGTTTATTATAGATGTTTCTATTTTAAAAGAATATAAATCTTTTTAACTGCTTTATACAAATTTTTTTTGTTATTTCACAATTTCAAATCTGATATCTTAAATTATTACGCATCTGAATATTTGAAGCAAACGCAACTGTAAAATCCAGTAAAATCGCCATGTTTCATATTAGTGTAAGTGCTGATAAAGTATCAATGGACAATACAGCAAATAAATGCTTTGATGTTAGCTATAAAACAATGGTTAAAAATTCTCCTATCAACACACTCAACACCTTAAGAGTAGTTGGAAAACCTGGAACACCAATTAGAAAACAAACTGTTATTACAACCGAAGACCCGATAACCTTCAATACGACAAAAACTACACTATTAACTGTAGCACCACCAACAACAACAATAACAGCAACAATAATAACAGCAGCAGCAGCAACAACAACAACAACAACAACAACAACAACAACAACAGCAACAACAATTGCCGCAGCAACAACAAATATTTCTGTTTCGTCTTCTTCTTCTTGTTCTTCTACTACTACTACTACTACCACCACCACCACCACCACCACCACCACAACAACAACAACAACAAAACAAAAAAGAAAATAAAAATATGTATGGTGTTAATATAACCGATATTTGCACAAGGGAAGAGAAAAATTCGAGAAAAATATTTCCGAAAGAAATCAAGTGTTTGTGCTAAGCAGATATATTTCTCCTTTATTGTTTGTTTCTTCTAAAGAAAAAAAAAAAAACAAAAACAAAAAATCATTTGGTGTTTATACTATTATAATTGTGTTTTTTAGTTAGTAATAGTTTGTTTATAAAAAAAAAAAAAAAAAAAAAACAAAACAACACAAAACAAAACATAAATATTGAGAAAACGTATGTTAAAAAGGAAATGAAATTTTTTGCCATAACTTTAATTATATCTTAGATGTAACTATATAAAAACAAAACTCGCTTATTAACTAAACTATTGGAGACAAATCAAGTAAGAAAATAGAAATAAAATCATATTCTTGTTGCTCGTCTTTAACCCATAGAGTTGTCTGCATTTTTCGGCAAATTTGTTAATAAATTCTCTAAAATTAAAACAACTTATTTAAGTATGTGAATGTATTATTGTCTTAAATTCTCACTGTGTAGACACATACTATTTTTACCCACAAAACCTGTACGACAATTTTTTTTTTTTTTTTGATTACAATTCTACAAATCGCAAATACCGAGATAAGAAGATAAGACGTTGAAATTTGACATGTGTATTTAGTTATTGACTATAACGGCCGGCTACAATGTTTCGACTTTTTTATTTGCTCGGATTGTTCTATCTAACAATAACGATTGTCGTTTCGTGCAGTAGCGTTTTGGCGGGCTGCATACCTTCATTCAAGGGTTGCAGTGCAGTGCTTTTCGCAAACTTTAAGCGCAATTCGCCGATTCACATCTACACATCTAACGTCTATAATTGGCCAAAATATAATTCAAACCTTATTCGATCTACATGCCGCCTTGCTTTCATAGGAAACAACAGAGTCATCTGTCCTAACATTCTGAGAATTTTAATGATAAACATGACTCACGTCTTGTATGCTTGCTTAAATAAATTTTATCTTTGACGAAAGTTTTCTATAATTGTCTACACATCTCATGGATGATATATCATAGGTAGTTCAGTACACATTATTGCTAGCAAATAAAAGTTATTGTCAGATATGAAGCGATTCGTAATTACAATTGGGCTATGCTCAAACTGATGCATAATTATAGATTTCGGATAAATTGGAAAACTTCATAGGTTTTTATTATGGCGTAATTACTTTTACTTCGCACCTCGCAAAGGCTATTGCATAAACGTTATGACCATGTGTGGGCAAAAGTTTTTTAAAAATATTTTCAATAGATTGACAGACTGACTGACGAAACGTTGAAATGTTCTTAACTATAATATAATTGAAGTCAATATCAAAGATTCGTCTTACAATACCTACGTCAAACATTAACATTAACTTTCCATTTTAATCTTTGCGATTTGAATAATTTGAACGAGAAGGATAATTTTAAAGGAATGGAGCTAAAACGTCTGGAGGAAATATACTTATGGATGTTCAAAATTAATTTCACACAATGAATCGTAAATGTCTTATGAACATTTTTTCAAAATCCGAAATTTAAGAATCGCGTTATTGATGCCTACGGTGGATTATTGAAATGATATTTATGGTGAAATGTAGGTAGGAAAACTGTATGCGTCTTAGAGGCAATATCAAAAATTTCCAACCGTTTTTGGATTGTTGCGTAACATTTTCTATCAAATCTGTTAAATTCCATCTTGAACGCGAATAGTGCGGTAATCTCAGTTTAATTTAATCTGGCCCAAGCTTTGCAAATTTTGTTGTTTCGGAATAAAAGTGAACTAATGAGGACTGCGATTAAGAAAAACCTTTCTTGCCGAGTTAAGGTTTCGTAATTAAACGACTTGCTTTGATTTTTAACTAAAAATTGATGCATCACTTATTGCAGTCGGTATTTAAGGAAGTAAAACAAGTGTACAATATAATGACTTTTCGAAACTTGCAAATTGAAAGTGACAAGTATGAAAAAAAAAAACAAAAGAAAGAAATTTTAGGAAAGATAATATACATACATCTCTTAAAAAAACTATGATAAATTTCGCTTAAGAAGAATTTAATTTTATACTTAGAAAAGAAATGAGATCAACAAGTTAAAACGTGAAAAAATGTTAACAATGCGAATACATCAATATATACAAACATAAATGTTTTGAAATTTATTATCATTAAATCGCCACTGGCGGCCAATGCATCAATTTGGGCAAATTTGATATATCTCTGATGGACAGAAAGAAAAAAATTAAATTTTCAGAACATCTTTTAAAACAAGAACGTACTACGAAACTCAAAATTTTCGCAAATTTTAAGTAATAGCTGATCCATTGTTTTAATAAAAAAAAATAAAAAAAATAAATACATTTTAACATACACATTTTTATAGTATTTTTATAACAAAGGATCTAACTGAATCTTATTCAGGATTTATATTAGCAATAAGTGCACGAAGTAATATTTTTGTTTTGTTGTTTACCTTTCATTCTCCAACTCCAAACTCTAATGTATCTAGCAGTGTAGCTAGTCGTCGAGGATAACATCGATCGAGTAGTAGCAAAAGGGGCAATTACTATTTATTTTCAGCCATACTTTGATCAATCTAATCTAATCTGCCTAATGTTTTTAACATTTTGGCACTACTACTACTACTACTACTACTACTACTATTACTACTACTACTATTTTTGTTTTTCCAAACAATGGGACAATCTAAGTTTCGTAATTCGTTTTAATCAAATCTGAACAGTTCAAAGAAGTTAAACTAAAGTTCTTTTTCCAGATCTAGTCCCAACAACTATATGGTTGAAATTATATACAAAAAGGTTTGTAATTGAAATACTAGTAGACTCGTTGAACTTCGTTTCAGACAGCCAAACAAAAACAATGCATTTTTTAATGTTGACTTCACGCTCATCACTTTCATTTTCATAGGCACGCAAACGCGATCGATCTTTCATTTCATTCATTTCGTTATGTACGTTGCTGCTCAGTGGCAATTGTGTGCACCTCAATGTTTTTCATTCACTTGAGATTTTTGATATTCTCGCATATTTCGTTGTTGTCCAAGCTTTACGACTTTGTGATCCAATACATTTGATCATTTTTGATATTCGGTAATTTTTTTTCGTATAATAAATCAGTATAGATTGTAGGTACATATTAATCATATGATGAATCTGTCAAATTGTTTATTATTTATTAAACTATAATAATTTTTCCGGCCATCGAGAATAAATAAATGTGAAATGTTCATATGTGAATGTAATTCCGCAAAGCTCGCATCATTTTCCACCGAAACATTTAAAGCAGAAATTCATTATATAATTTTTCGACAAACGAACTTTGGTTTATTTATAGAGCCTTAATAAACACGATATGTAAATTTAGCTACAATCTGTGCAATAATATGGAGGGTAGCCTATAGCGCCATCTATTGAGACCTAGTAGAATGATACACGAGATATTATATACTATTAGCTATGCTATGATTTCTATCAGCTCACGATAATAAATATGAATGTGACCTGCTTCCAAATATATAGCTTAGGTGGTTGTGGTTGTGAGGTACATTTTAAAGCAAACAAATTAAAAGTATTCGACATTTGTTTTAAAGTTGCATTCTGTTTTTTATACCCTACAGCATTTATGGCACAAAAGTGCATTAAATCTGTGCGGATGTATCCAGATAGCCAGAAGAATTAGAACTGGATCTTCTTCTTTACCGAACAATTCAGAATCATTTTCTGAACCGATGTAAGCTTTTTGTCCCTCTTGCATTGTTGCGTTCAACTAAATAGTCGCTATTAGGTTCGTATGGAGGTTCGTATGGTAAGACCCATAACGGCTCAAGATAAACGTACCTGATATTATAACGATCGATTCAGAGAATTATTCTAAGCTTGTCTGCCCTTCTGACCGTCTGTTGTGTGTCCAACCTATAGCTGGCAATTTTTGAAATAGGTTGATGAAATTTTGGTACACTGGCCGGATCGGCCCACAAAAAAAAATTGCAATTTTCAAAATTTTTCGAGTGAACTCGCTGAATACTATTACTTCGACATTCGAAATTGGTTTATGTGAGGCAATTTCCTAACCTATTCTTCTATAATCGTTCTTTCGAAGAATGAGTATTTAAGGTGAAAAAATATAGTTTTCAATATTTCATAGAGAAAATTGATTAAAAATAGCAAATTTGCAAAGAAACCAATCATACCGAATATTTTTGGTTATCACCGTATATAACGATTCTGAGGATACATAAGCTCTTACATGCCAAATTGTTAATATGTGATGAGAGAAATTTTCTCATGATAGCAATTTGACATAAAAATTAAGTGGACCAAATTTGTACCGCATGAGAGGTCTATTTCTTGCACCCCATTCATTATAAGATTTCTTATGAACAGTTAGCCATTCAAAAAAAGATTTAAGGAGCCATTTAGCGAAAAAATTAACGGTAGGAAATTTGGATAACATAGGTGTATTTTTTTAGACCATAACATATGTAGGGTTATCATGGAAAGCAAGTCCTTATATGGAGAGAAAGTCTAATTTCTTATGTTTTATGACAGAAATTGAAAAACCATAAAATTTTTAGCAAGTAATTTCAAATTTGCTAAATTTGGATCACTTCATGTGATGGTTTGAGCATCTTCCGCATCTTCTGCGGGCTTTCATGGACAGTACGAATTTGCATGAAAATTTTGGGTGTATTGTTGCCAAAACGAGTGAATAACTGTAACTGACAAAATGGTGTAAAGTATCTAATAGACGGGCTTGCCCGACCCGTTTATGGACAAACGCTATTTTAAACGGTTCGGATTGGATTGAAACACTTTTTCA